TACAAACTATTTAACTCTTCAAAATCTGTCTAGAAGAAGGATCCTACACAAACCTCAATGGGATCTATTGTTTCCTCCAAGCGGTGCTCCTCCAGACTCCCAAACATTCGATATCACTCTTTTATTCCTCCTCTTAACCAACATTTCTGGTCTCTCTCCACCCCGCTCTGGGTGGCACAACAAACCACCTCCAAGTGACAACTCCCTTGAAGCAAATCTTGCTCGCATTAAATTTTTCCGCAATGAATTGTATGGCCATGTTACCACAACTGGTATTGCTGATCTAACTTTCTCAACTCTGTGGCAGGAGATCAGTGCTGTTCTTGTTGCTCTCGGCTTGCAGCAGGCAGAAATTGACAGATTGAAGGTTGAGCGTTGTGGAGAGCAGGAGTACCTTGATGCGTTGCGCAAGTGGGCTGATTCTGATGCAGATATAAAATCACAGCTGAAGGACATACGCGATATTGAGACCAAAGTGCTGCTAACTGTTGATGAAAATAAAGCAAAGCTGGAAGAAGTTCATCAGTTACAGAAGAAGTTGCAAGAATCTGTGCAGAGCCAACAGCGAGACACCTTTCAAAATTTGAATAAAGAGAAGGAGAGCATCAGAGATGACGAAGTCCTTGCGAAACTAGCAAACGTTGACAATTTAGGTGAAATTAGACACCATGGAAGCAGATATGTTAAGGGAACTCGGTTATCGATCATTGCAGCAGTTGAGAGGTGGTTAGACGACAAAAGTTCTCCAAATAGAGTGATTGTTATTAGTGGGAATGCGGGGATGGGAAAGTCTGTAATCTCAGCTGTCTTATGCCAAAAGATGTTAGAGGCTGGAAGATTGTCAGGGAGCCACTTCTGTCGGCATAACAAGGCACGCCGAAGAAATCCCAAAGTGATGCTGCAGTCGTTAGCCTGTCAGCTTTCAGAATCGCTGCCAGAGTACAGGAAGGCTTTAGTGAAGAAGTTTTCGAGAAACCTGGGCGTTAAAATTGGAGACATGGAAGTGGAAGAACTGTTTGAATTTTTGTTTGAAGAACCTCTTTCAGATTTGGAAGACCAAGGCTCTATCCATCTCATGGTAATAGATGGCTTAGACGAAAGTGAATACCAGGGGCGTAATGAGCTTTTGAATGTGATTGCCGATTACTTCAAGACGCTTCCGTGTTGGATACGATTTGTGGTAACAACGCGACCTGAAATGAACATCTTAGAGAAGATTCATGACTTAAATCCCATACAGCTGAACCCAAACGATCAAGAAAACTTGATGGACGTTAGGCTTTGCTTTCAAGAGCAACTGGAACATGTTCTGCAATCTGATTGCCAAGATACCATCTTAGAGAAGCTTGTTGAAAAGTCAGAAGGAGTCATGTTATATACCTATTACCTGACAGAATTCATTAAGAAGAATGCTGTGTGTATGAGTGCTGCTGAAGTGATCAACAGCGACTTGCCATCAGGTATTTCGTCCGTTTATCAAGACTACTTCAAACGCCTGAAAAATGAAATGCAGAAAGAACTAGGTATCACCGAAGAGCAATTCTTCGATTTTTTAAGTGCCATGGTGGCAGCAAGAGAACCATTACCTGTCGAGTTTGTCTACAAGTTGTTCCTTTCAAAAGAATGGTCATCGGCTGATGAGCAAAAAGTACGAGACGCAGTTGATTGTATCTCGGCTCTTCTACCCATTGAGGGCGAGTGCATTAACTTCTTTCACAAGTCAGTCAAGGACTGGTTGGTCGAGGAGTCTACTTCGAGGCAAAAGAAGTTTATTGTTAGCGGAAAAAAATGTCATCGCGTCATTTCAAAGCTTTGCAGAGATGAACTAGATGAATTGAAACTTAAAGGGATCCAGAGTTCAACACTGAAACAGACGTCGAGGTATGCCTTGCAGCATGGTGTTCAGCATATACTTGAGGTAGAAGAGAATGCTCGTCCGTGTAGCCTCGACGATATTGTAAAGAATTATGTTTTGGACCTAGAATTGGTCTATGCAAAGCTAACTGTGAAGAGTACAGCAGCCACTGAAGATGTTCTTTGCGTACAAGAGAAGGAAAATACAAATGGTATGTCCAAGAATTGCAGAGAAGCCCTTGAAACGTTATTGTTGTTGTTGCGGAAGCATGTAAGTACCCTTTCAAGACTTCCTCGTGCCATCTTTCAAATCTTATTGAATGAAGGAGGACCTGAACTGTCTGCGAAGGCATTAAGCTTGCTAAACACCAAGTATGCGGACTTACCATATATGGAATATTTGGGAAAGAAGGAGGAAAGAACAGATGTTCTACTGCGGTTTTTTGCTTCAGATGTGGTGATCTGCTTTGATGTCTCACCAAATCAGGACTACCTGGTATGCGAGTGTAAGAATGCAGAAATTCATCTGTGGTCGCTCCGTACTGGCCAGCTGATGTGGACACGCTCTGCGCTGGTATCAAACATTACTTTGTTGGAGCTCCTATTCCAATCGAAAGTGAATCCCATTGACCAATTTTACCGGTCAGTAGTTTTCCATCCAACCTTAGACCTGATCTTACAAGGGACTCTGTGTCAGGGTTATACCTTGGTCGGAGACAAGAAACCTCTTTTCCGTTCGAGCGAGTGCCGGTTCAAAGTTTGTTCAATATCTGGTGACAAAAGCACGATGCTGACTGACTGTCTGGACGGGAGGAATTGCGTCATCCAGTGGAGTCTAAAAGATGGAAGTGAAATTAGTCGTTTTACACACAAATGCGAAATTTTATCTTTTGCTTTGTCTGCTAGTGGAAGACGGGTGGTGATCCTCGATTCTGACAAGTGCGCATACCTCATTGACATGAATGATGGAGTTGAGACTCTAATATGTGCTTCAGTCTGGTCACGATATGTTAAGTTGACTCCTGACTGCCGGTTTTTTTTCTGTTTACTTGTGGATGAACGTCATCGGTATCCGAAGCGCAAGCTTTTTTGTTTAGATATTGACAGGAACACGAAGTCAATGTATAGTTTGGATTGCATTTTTGGGACGAGTTCTTACCAGTACGCCTCGGAATTTGAAACTTGCAATGAGAGTGGTTTCCTATCAGGAGATCCCTTTTGGTATCCATCTGGAGGAAAATTATTACCTGTGGATTTTGCACTTGTACTAGAAAAGCAGATGTTACTAAGAGTTTCCCCTCACAGTATAGTGATTGAAATGTGTCGCCTTAATGACGTAAGGGAGTGGAGAGATGAGAGTAGCGATGAAGCGGGACTAAGCATAGAACCCGGTGACATTACGACAGAGAGAACCGAAAATAACGATCTAACGGAACATAACCTACCAGAAATCAACCATATGCTGGAACAGAAAGCTGAAATCGATGTTCTGTCAGGACAGAGAGCTGAAGTTGCTGATCCATCAGAACAGAGAGCTGAACTCGGTGGCCTAGTTGAACAGACAATGGAACGTAACAACTCTACGGAAAAGAGAGATGAACTTGATGACTTTGTGGGAGAACGAACGGAATTTAATGACCCACCAGAAAAGAGGTTCAATCTCGATGAAACCTCAGAACGATTGGAAACTGATCCATGCAGCTTATTAGGGAATGGAGCTGATCCTTATTCTAAAGGGGGTAAGTTTCCAAAGAAACTGTGGTGCTGTGTCGGAGGGAGAGTATAACAGGGTAATTTAGTATTACCAATTGAGTTGATAACGTTAACTGGCCATCGCTATTAAACTCTTTATGGTGGCCAATTTACGTTATCAACGCAGTTGATAATACTTAATTGCCTAAATCTTTATTCTGTTCTCTCTTTCCTAGATGATCAGGAACAACAGGAACCTCTACTTGACGACATAGAGGAAAACGGTTTTGTTGGATATGATCGCTTTCTAACAAGTTTTGACGTTCATTTCTCTGTTGATGGTGACTCTCTTTATACCGTGGAAGGTATAAAGAGAGAGAAGGAAGATACAAGGATCCAGCGAATAAATCTTGTGGCTGGCGATGTTTTAAGTAAAAGGATCAGAAGAAAGGAATGTATGATTATTGCACCGTCTTTAACTCAATTAAGTGTTGTGCCCGTCAAAAGAGGTGTCCTATTTCGAACAGTTAGTGGCTCGCTTGAGTTGTGGAACCCTGAGTTGTCTGTTTGCATGAAAAGCTGGACTGAGTTTCCTGTCGATGATATTGTACCCTTATCAGAGGAACGAGTCGTCTTGGAAACGAGGAATAACTTTGATCGCAGACAGGAAGTCATCATTCTAGATACAACGAGTGAACAAATTGTGTCAAAGATTGGAAATTTTGAAGGTGGATTTTTGGCATGTAATAATAAATGGGAAGTGCTAACCACCACTGATTATAAGTCACTGCAGCTGTGGCGTGAAAACCGAGTGCTATGGGAAACTTCTATTTCTAAGTTTCATCCATTTGGCCTTCCAGTTTGGCCTTCAAGTGCTATTTTTTCTCCTACTGAAGAAAACGTCGTCACTTATGGTATACTTGGCTCTTACGTCCTTGACGCAGTTTCGGGAAAAGTGATTCGTCAATTGGAGAACATGAATGTAGATGATATTAAGTTTATCAGTAACGAGGACTGCGTTGTAGGCTTGAATGATCTAAGAGCTTTGTGTCTTCGATTATACAACGTTAAATCTGGTGATCTCCTCAGTGAAGTTGTAGAGCAACGACAACTTCAAATTCTTGCAGTTAGTCCTCGTAAGCGCTTGGTCGCAATTGGCTTTAGACACTCCAAGGACCATTTTGAAATCATTCAAGTGAAGCTGCCAGGCGACAAAGAAAAGACAAACATCGAAAGGTCAATTGAAACAAAGTTTATTTGAAGACAGAAAAAGAATAATGTGGATAATAATATAATGTTAATAGTATTGATAGTAGTAAGAGTAACAATGATACTTAATAATAATGTGATAATGATAACAATAATGATGATTGTACATGTAATACTAACGATAACAGTGGTAGTAAGAAAAGTTATGATGATAATTATAACTATGATTATTGCCAACGAGCCAGCCGAGCGAAGACGCGAGGCTGGCGAGGCGGCAGCATTATAGAGCCGTGCGAGAGTATTGTACAGGCGGAAAAAATCTCGAGTGATTGTAAGATGTCTGTAAGGTAAGATTCCTGAGATTCCAATGACGTAATGTGAATAGGCTTTGTTTTGCAACGGACCAATGGTAGCGCGCAAAGATCGTGACGTCAAGTCCACATGGTGCTTATCGTGGACGCTTAGCAGCTTTGTCATTTATCGAGCGGAGGAGCGAGCAAGTTTGAGGTAAGAAAATTGTATTTTTCACCTACCTTTGTAAGTTTTATTTCCAATTCTGCGTGAGTGCACTTAAGTTAAGTGCCTTTGTGGTATAATTATCGAGTTAGCAAGCTCAGTAACCGGCCAGTGTGCCAAAGTCGGCCAGTGTGCCAAGTTGACGAGTGTGTCAAAGTCGGCAAGCGTGCCAAATGTAGACAACGCCAGCAGGCATAGAGCAATCAAAGAAACTGAGAAACCACCGAATTAAACAAAACAAAGCTCAAACAAACGATAATCGTAGCAAACTAGCGGCCAGTAAGCCAACTTTGACACCATTAGCGAGCAGAAAGCAATCAAAGTTGTAGCAAACTAGCGGCGGCGAACGAGCCACACGTGAGAGTGCCAAAGTCGGCAAGGGTGCCAAATCTAGACAACGCCAGCAGGCATAAAGCAATCAAAGAAAGTGAGAAACCGCTTGAAACTGTATTCAAACAAAACAAACGATAGTTTTAGCAAACTAGTGGCCAGTGAGGCAACTTTGTCACCATTAATAGCGAGCAGTTAGACAACGCCAGCAGGCATAAAGCAATCAAAGAAACTGAGAAACCGCTTGAAACTGTATTCAAACAAAACAAACGATAGTTTTAGCAAACTAGTGGCCAGTGAGGCAACTTTGTCACCATTAATAGCGAGCAGAAAGCAATTAAAGTTGTAGCAAACTAGCGGCGAGCTAGCCACGAAAGAGTGCACTCGTCATTGGCCACTGAACCAACTTTGTCACCCCACAAACAAGCTGAAAACAATCGAAGCAACTGAGATTCAACTTAACTTAAGCTTGAGTTAAATTCAAAGGAAACCTAACGCGGCGGAAGTGCATTGGAGAGCGAGCAAGCTGCAATAATCAACTGTCAGCTCGATCAATTCTTTCGACTGTTATTAATATCAAGCGTATCACGAATTTTTGAAGCACAGACTTTTTGCCCACTAAAATACAAGGTACACCTAGAGCAATAAACCGCACAAAAGTTTGAAAATGATGTGGCTATTGTTTATGTTGCTACTCTTTCCCAATCGTACTGCCCACAATAATCTGTTAGAATTGGGGAGTGTGTGCCCAAAATGCAGCATGATCTATTTCAGATTTAGGGGGAGATACTTGTCAAGGCGAATAGCTTATCCTTCTAATGGTAGTTTTAATCCCTTCGTTATTTCAAACAAGGAGGCACACATTGTGAATGGGAACATAAATTCAGAAGTGTTGGAAGAAAAACGCAATGCAATATGTAATAGCACTGATAGTAATTCTACATACATGTGTGAAGGATCAAATGTAAGAGATCACTTTCGTAATTATTGTTTGACCAACGTAGGGAAGTTTTCTTGTGCAGTTGATTGCTTTCTTGAGCTATGTTATTTTGTTTTTTGCAATCATCTTCAAAACATTACATGCAATGATTTTTTTCAAGTTATCTCTGAGGCGTGCAATCAAAGGGCAATTGTTGGTGCTGTTGATGTTGTGCGAGAGCCTATATGGTCACTGATCAGAGGTCGTTGCCCATCATTTTCTTCAATGACTGCAAATGCTGTTTTTAGTGACATATTTACCATGCAAGCATTTGGGGATTTAACCAGTGATTTGAAATCATTATTTCTTATTCAACAATGTAATCAGACTTGCTGCACCCTGTGTAACAATCAAATATTGAAAACTACTAGCACTATTGTCTTGTATATTACTTGTCCAAATATTCTGCCCACTGAATTTGAAAACTGTGTTTCAGAAGCTGCTTTGCCTAATAGCAGCCCACTTTTTTGTGATGCATGTCAAAGGCATTCTGGTGATATTTCAGGTTTGCAACATTTTGTTACCATGCCAAAATTTTTACACATTGAATTATCATCAATTTCTTTTGGTCAAACTGTTCTACCAGCAAGTATGGAACTCTTAGGTACATTTTACTTATTAAAAGCTGTTGTGCGGTGTGCAAGCCACCATTTCACTATTGCTATAAACAATGGTCGTTATTGGTTTTATTATGATGATCTCTGTAGTGCAGTTCAGCAATATGCTACATTTCAAGATATTTTGAATGTTTACGCCAATGGATGGTATTTTGCTGTTTATGAAAGCTCTGTTGATAACATTATTAATATACATCAAGGCATTGATTCCTGTACATTAATGCCAGACCATTCTTATTCAAAATTAGAGGATAAAGAACGCCAAGCCTGTGATGATTTTGGGAAAGAAGTTTGCACACCCAGAAAACGACAAAGACCAGAAACAAATACTGACAAATTGATAGATAGAAAAAGAAAGCTGAACTTAAATGTAGTAAATCCACATTTGAAGAATTACAAAATTGCTAAAAAAGCCAAAGAGACAGAGAGTGAAAAACTTTCTAGACAAAAAAAGCAAAAAGAATATATGAGGGCATACAGAAGGAAAATAAAGGATTATGAGACAGGGGAGGAGAAGCAAGCACGATTGATAAAACAAAATGTGCAAAAGTGGAACTCTAGACAGAAAAAGGAAGACAATACATTTGATGTAATTAAACCAGTAGGAAAATTTACAGCTAAAAAAGCCAAAGAGACAGAGAGTGAAAAACTTTCTAGACAAAAAAACCAAAAAGAATATATGAGGGCATACAGAAGGAAAATAAAGGATTATGAGACAGGGGAGGAAAAGCAAGCACAATTGATAAAACAAACTGTGCAATTTAAGTGGAACTCTAGACAGAAAAAGGAAGACAATACATTTGATGTAATTAAACCAGTAGGAAAATTTACAGCATGGCAAAAAGTAGATAAACCACTGCATAATGTTGACAAAGAAGCATATTTATCTCAATTTGACAGTATAAACACTGGACCAATTCATGTACAGAAGTGGGCTATCAAAAACATGGAAGACTTTCATAATTCACTTAAATTCAAAATTTATATGTGTGAAGTTTGCCATGAGGCATGGCCATTATCATCAAAAGGCAAAAAGAGATCTCCTTATATGTGTTCAAGATGTTCACGTGACAAGAATGGAGTGAAAAAATTTTCATCTCAGAATGGAATGATTCCTTCACAAGTCCCAAATGAATTGCAAGGTTTAACGCAATTAGAGGAAATGTTAATAGCTCGTGTTTTCCCAGTAATTTCTGTTTATACAAAACCAGGTGGACAAAAAGCATATAAAGGTCATTGTATTAACTTCTCTCAAGATATCCAAGAGTTAGCCAATTCATTGCCAAGAAACCTAAGTGAAATGCCAGTAATAGTTGTGTCAGTCAAAGGCAAAGATAATACTTATAAAGATCTCACTGTGAGACGTGAAAAGGTCAGCTGTGCTCTGCACTGGTTAGTTCAACATAACCCTGTATATAAGGATATCACTATTGATTATGAATTGTTGGCTTTCTTGCCTTCTGATGGCATTCCCACTGAGCTGCGTAAAATTTATTGTACTGAGAACAGTAAAGATGATGAAATTGATCCAGACAGAGGTCCTCTTGATGAAATACCTTTCAATGAAGACACAGAATTGAGTAGCACAATTCTTAACCCTGTACAACTAAAGCCACAGAAGCAGCTGATAAAAGATGAGTTATTACAAAACAGTAAAATCAATTGGCCTAATAGGAATTCAAGTCCTCTCAATGAGTTTAAAATTGAATATTTAGCTACTATGGCATTTCCTACTTTGTTCCCAGATGGTAAAGGAGATCCTACTAACAGTGCTACAATGCGTGATGTGACCCTTGGAGATAAAATAAAACATTTGATTAAATTTGCTGAATATAATAATGGTAAATGGGCTTATAGGTTTGCAAGTCACCCACGGTTTGCTTATTGGGCATTCAACATGATTCAGAGGCACAGACTCCTTAGTCAGGGAAATATTTTTTTAAAGCAAAACCCTGGTGAAGCTAAGTTAACTGTAGAACAACTTCAACAAATGCTTCAAACAAATACGTATTCTACTTTAATGTCAAAACTTATGCATTATGCTAAAAATGTTACTGGTAGCAATAGCTATTGGCACAAAGCTAAAGAGGATTTGCGAGCAACCATTGCTCAAGTAGGACCGCCTACTATATTTTTTACTTTATCTTGTGCTGAGTACCATTGGCCTGAATTTCATGAACTCTTTTGTGACCCTCACTCTGAAACACTTCAACCAGCAATCAGGCAGCAAAATGTTCTTCAAAATCCACATATCTTGGATTGGTTTTTTACTGAGCGAACAGATCGTTTTGTCAAGTTTTGGTTAAAAGAGTCATTAGGGGCTTCTTGGCATTGGTACAGATACGAGTATGCAGTTCAGAGAGGTTCAATTCATTGTCATGGAGTTGCAAAATTGAAAAATGATCCAGGACTTTGCGAACTGACAGAAATTGCATTGCAAGGTTTTTTAGCATCAAAGCATATCAATGAGAACAAAGGAAATTTGTCAGAAGAAGAAATATTAGAACTGGAGACTAAGATAAATCAAGGTATACAAGCAGAGTCTGTTGTTTGTCAGTATGTTGACTTTATACTAACAACTTGGAATCCATGTTCCCCAGAAGAAGGGTGGTCCAAACCAGATTCTCATCCATGTCAAACCCAGTATCTGTCTTTGAATGGCAAACAAAAAGAGGAAGACTATGTGAATTTATTAAACTCTGTTGAGAGACATACAATGTGCAGTACTAAGTATTGTCTAAGGGAAACTAGCAAAAATGAATTAGCCTGTAGATTCAAATTTCCTTTTGAAAATTGCCCAAAGACAAGAATAGATTTTGAACCAATAAACACTAAATCAGGCCAAACCAAGTATAGAGCAACCATTGTTACTAAGCGAAATGATTCAAGATTAAATCGTCACCAACCACTGCAGCTCCAAGGATGGAGGGCAAATTGTGATATTCAAATTATTATAGATTATGTGGCATGTTTGGAATATCTTGTGAAATACACATCAAAAGGAGAAAAAGCTTCTTCAGTTCTAAATAATGCATTCACCAATGTAATTAGTAAAGCATCGGACGAAAGTGACATTCATAACATTTTGAAGCAAATTATGATCAAAAGTGTCGGACAACGAGATTATTCAATCCAAGAAGTTATGCATCATTTACTCTCACTCAAATGTGTAAGTGCAACACATGAAGTAATAAATACATCTCTTGATGGTTCACGAAGAGTACAGGTGTCCAAAAATAAGGATTTTTGTACAATCCCATCCATGTTGGATATTTATGCTGAACGAGAGAAGTTTATTAAGACATTTCCAGACATACTGACATATAATTTTTTGCAATTTACCTCCACATTTGTAAGCAAAAACTCAAAACTGGAGAAAAGGAAGCAAGCTGTAATAGTTAAAACTTATCCCAAATTTTCTTCAAATCCTCAAAATCAGCAGTATGGGCTGTTCTGTAAATATCAACTGCTAAAATATAAACCTTGGCAACATGTAGCAGACAATGCATGGGACAATCTTGAACAGTGTGATGAAACTTATAAAGCATGTTGGATGAACTTTTTGTGTAGTGATTGTGGGAAGAACAGTGTTCCTGACTGGGAATTGCAATTGAGCAGCTTAAAAGCAGCCATTAATCTGGAAAATGAAAATGAAAACATGGAAATTATAGAGGAAGAAAAGGAAGAGTGGATGTTTATGTCAGAACTGAATTTACAGGAGTTGAGCACAGATACTGAATATAACTCGACGTTAGCTCCTGAAGGATATTGGCACAATGTTAGTGAACATTTTGACGATGTTGATCTACTTTCTGTTACTTCTTGGTTAAATACTCAGAAAAATAAAAATGAACCAAGTTGGCACATATCATCAAGAGTAATAGATATTTCAAGTTTTAGTAGCGATCAATTGTTGGCATACCATATCATTCTAAATCACTTCAACAGCAGTAATGAACTGCCTTTGCATCTACTTGTTAAAGGAATTGCAGGTTCAGGAAAAAGCTATGTTATTGATGCTGTAAGAAATGTTCTTAAGGAAAAATGTCAAGTACTAGCATATACTGGAAAGGCCTCTTTTAATGTCAAGGGTGTAACACTGCATTCTTTCCTCAAACTACCAATTGGTTCAAAAAGACTCTTCGAATTGAAAGGAATAGCTTTGCAACAACTTCAAACTAATTTACAAAACATTCAGTATTTGATTATAGACGAATATTCATTTGTTGGCCAGAGCTTATTTGGGTGGATAGATTGTAGATGCAGGCAAGCTACAGGTTTAGCTGATCAAGCTTTTGGTGGTCTTTCTGTTATTCTGGTCGGTGATATAGCACAGTTATCCCCAGTTGGTGATAAACCACTTTTCCATTCTTTGCCAAAATCAGAAAAACAGATTCAGGGTCACCTCATATATAAAGAGTTCAAACAAGTCGTCACATTGTCAGTGAATCATAGAGTTGATGGCAAAACTAATGCCCACAGCTGCTTTAGAGATCTCCTCATTAGAGCACGAAATGGAGAATCCACTTTGGCAGATTGGCAGACATTGTTATCTAGAACTCCTGAAAATGTAACAAATATTGAAGAATTCCTAACATCATCTGTAAGGCTATCCTATCTGAAGGCAAAAGTTGCAGAAATGAACTTGATCAAATTAAAAAATCTAAACCAGCCAATAGCAACAATCAAAGCCCGTCATTCTGGTGGTGCTCAAACACTTAGCTCTGATGAAATGGGAGGATTAGAACCTGTCATATATTTAGCTAAAGGTGCTAGAGTTATGCTCACTATGAACATGTGGACAGAAGTTGGTCTTTGTAATGGTGCACTAGGAACTGTATTAGATTTTGTATATGCTGATGGGCAAACTCCTCCAGCCCTGCCTATTTGTGTTCTTGTACAGTTTGATGAACAATATAATGGACCTTCTTTAACTGCAAGTGTTCCAAGATGCGTTCCAATTTGTCCAATAACCCAAATTTCACAAAACATAGGTCACACATGTGAAAGACAACAACTTCCTTTAAAGCTAGCATGGGCTATGACTATTCACAAAAGCCAAGGTCTGACTCTTAAAAAAGCATGGATAGATCTCGGCCCTTCAGAGAATTCACCTGGTATGACATATGTGGCTCTTAGTAGAGTAAAAAGACTCCAAGATCTCATAATTGAGCCAATGACATTTGAAAGGTTGCAAGCTTACAAAAAATCAAATTTTTTGAAATATAGGTTAATTGAAGAAAAGAGACTTGATTCTTTATCTCTAAATGCTTCTAAAAATGGTCATCATGAGTAACTTTGACTTAATACAGTAAGCATGTTCTCCAAAAGCTAAACAAGACATCCAAATACCAATTATTGTGTTCCCCTGTTTTTCTTTGTTTGACTTGATTTAATTATTGTCTTTGAAAAGCCTCTGGAGGAAAGTCAATAAAATATGTATCTATGTGTGATGTATTTTTAATTTGTAAAACATTTTTTGTTGCAGACGATGGCAAGCAAAAGGACTTATTGTAAGTACTGAATATAATTATTTTATCTTATAAATACAGAATTCATGCCCCTTTAAGTAGTCTAAGACTAAACAGGGACAACTGGTGTCCCTGTTATTTTGCAGCAACTCAGCCCCTAGCACCTGACTACTGTATCTGTGAAAGGTAGAGGCAATTTTGTTCTTGGTTATTGTTGTTCACTCATAATAATGAGTACATGCTGACTCCTTTATATTTCAAGCTTTACCTGCAATGTGTCATTTTCTTGAAATATCCAACCCCCCAAATTATTTGACATTACCATGCCAATCAAACATAATTCTCTTATGCATATTCTAACCATCTTAATTGTTTACTTGCAGCAAACGACCATGGGTTTATTCACAACCTCAGTCCAATTAAGAAGTCCCTTAAGTCAAAGCATCAGTGGTATGAATTTCAGCTTCAAACTTCACCCACTAAAGTGAAACGTTTGGTAGGATTTAATCTCTATGTCCATGATTCCTTAAAACATTTTGAGGAAACCAAGAGCCCAGTACAGCTCAAGAACATTATTGTAAAAGACGACAATGAATGTATTTTCAATCAACAATCTGCCGTACATAAAGCAGGCTTGTCAGATGTATCATTTTGTTACACCGAGCAGCCAAAGCTTGAAAGTGCAGGTGAATCAAGTGCTGCAAAGTCAGTTACTGTGTCGAATGTAAAAGGTTTGCACCCAAACCAAAAAGTCAATGTCAGTGGTTCCCTCACTATGGGAAAAGAAGACCTCAAGGCTGTTGTTCTCAGATCCACTGGAGCAACAGCCCATGTGAAGGAAGATTGCGTGTTGGAGGACAACACTGGGTCATCAATGATTCACATTTGGGAACCCCTTGTCCATACCTTGACAACGGGTAAATCATACTGCTTCACCAACCTGACAGTAAAGAATTTCCAAGGGTCGACGTATCTAAGTACATCGCCAAACACAACAGCAAACCTTACAACACAAACAGTGCAAACCCTGACTGGACCAGATATGCTCAAAAGTCCAGAAAAGGAAGTAACTGCTTCAGAATTCAATTTGGTGTCAAAGCTAAACATCTTTTGTTCCTGCAAAGTGTGCAAAAAACGCTTAAATGATGTTGAATCATTCACTTGCACCACACTGAAGAGTGAAAACTGTGGTACACGTCAAAGATCAAGAGATATCAAACTGCAGGCTTCAGCAAAAATTTCTATCACTGAATCAGAAGGTGACAACAGCAAAGAGATGTGGATCCAGGCTTTCACTGAGCAACTAGAAACCCTGCTGGCAGGATCAACCTTATCCCTAAAGGATAAAATCGATGACATTGAAGTTTATCTTATGTCTCTGGAAGACATTTGTTTGGTATACAATGTCCAAACAACAAACATTACAAAGATTCTCTCCTTTAAACGTCCAGAAGTACACTCTGATTAGCACATTGTCTGTGAACAGTCCAATACCCTTGTGTGATTGTCTCGGAGGACGTTGGAAAGTTAAAATTGTTGTTTAATACTGATGTAACATGTGTAGTCTCGGACTGGCCCATGCATCCCAAAGCTAAAAGATGTGCATCTGCTTTCCCAGGTGTTTGACTTTGAGGAACGTTATAGCAGTGAATGAAAAATATTTTGTTACAGTTTAGATTCATGTGTTAGAGATTTCGCTCTATACATCCCTTAATTAAGGATAAAATTAATGACGTTGAAGTTTATCTTATATTGTCTCGAAGAAAATATTTGTTTGGTCAACAATGTCCAAACAATGAACAATACAAAGTTCTTTCCTTTAAACGTCCAGAAGTAAACTCTGATTAGTTCATTCTGTGTGAACAGTCCAATAACATTGTGTGACTGTCTCGAACGATGTTGGAAAATTAAAATTATTGTTTAATACTGATGTAGCATGTGTTATCTCAGACTGGCCCATGCATCCCAAACTTAATAGTTGTGCTATCCCAGTTGAATGACTGTGAAGAAAAAATTTATTTAGTGATTCAGAAATATTTCGTTACAGTTCATATACAATTAAGAGTTGTTATTGTGGGTTCATTTTTGTTCTGTATTACCTTATATTATTCAGTTTTACACATAATTTTTAGAAAGGGAAGAAAACACACTTGGCTATCATTGCAGCACAAACTTTTGTATTGCAATAATGTAAAATCAAGAAACTTATTTTCGTTTTCACCATATTCACCTCAAAATTTAAAACATTTCACGTTGGTTGGAACTACTAAAATTTACACCCACAAAACATGACTCCATTTTTTAACATTACCAATGAGTATTTCTTTTCATTGGTTGCTCGTTGGCACTTAGCGATAGCTATATCTAGTACTAATGATAAATAATGGTAATAGAACAGAGTGGAGTCCACTTCGGTCTGTAATCATACGAGAGATCAGCAAACGCGGACGACCGCAAAGCAGGAGTCCGATCTGTCAATCACGAGTGTGATTATAGACACAATTGGACTACACAAAGTCCTTTATCAATTTATCATAACCGTTACAATTTCCGAAGACAACAAACCCATTGAGGACATATCTCCGGTAGAGACAATTTCTAAAGTGAAAAATGTCTCAATTTTGGAAATTCCACAGTTTTTTTTAGTGTTAGTGGTTGTTGCTATGGTTGTTGTGATCAATTCTGTGATTGGTGGATTTGGCGGAAAGGACTCAGTATAATTGGACGCTTCAACTATCCGATCTCAGGTGTCCGATTACAGACAACTGTCCGGTTAGAACTGTACAGAATGATTTGTGAAAAATAACTACTGATCACTTGTTAATTTACTAAAAAATACTCTATTACTTGAGATGTTTCCTTTGACTTAACTTCTATTGTTGAATTTTTACCTTAGGTTGAACCTCCCAGAGAAAGACATCTACAGAGATTTACAGTTTCGTTGCTGAATGGGAAAGAAATTGTCAGAAAGGCTGTATTCCGCTGATTCCTTTGCATTCAAGTGGTTACGATCTTCTAGTCCCGACATCTAAACAGGAGAGACCGCTGATCGAGATGGGAGCGAGTACAAGAATGATTTTAGTGACAAAGCTGTTCAAGGATTTAAATTACATTTTTCTTGTAGAGACTTCATAAACATTTTTAACTGTTCCCAGCGTAAATTTAAGACAAATATTTAACGCTGTAACTCCCATGAGTGACCAAGACAGAATTTCTCCTTACAAAATCAATAGAATATCAACCAGATAAGTTATGAGAATAAAGAAAAATCTCAATTTAGGGATAATTTATTGATCCAATACTAAATTCCCCGAACTAACTTTTTAAGAATTTTATGTTAGACTGTAAGGAGAATTACAAATTTGATCTGGGAGTTAAAGGGTTAACGATCTATCTTATTGCTCCTGTGGTGTTTCATCACCCAGCTACAAGCTAACAATTTGTTTTGTGGAAGCGGAGTGTTGTAAGCATTTCATTTAGTGTTGATTTGAAACTCGTTTAAATCGTGAGATTAATTTCTCGAGGAAAACGAAAAAGGTAATGACAAATTGTACAGTTCTAAGAAAAACCTTAACTTCATTTTCTGCAAAATTACTTGTACAGCTTTAGACTGTTAGAGAAGAAGAGAGAAATAACTTGTGGTACCACTGGTGATTCTCTCGTATATTTCGTGTGAAAGAGGTACTTTCAACTGTGTGTAAATAAGAACCAGCTAAATTTATATCCATTTTATTTGCACATAGCTTATACCGGCCCGGTTGAAGATGAAACCAGAACAACCGCGCAGAAATCGTTTCTCTTACATTATTTTCTAGAAAAAAGAAGGATATTCAATACGCTGATTTTTTGCATACAAATTAGTTTACGTGTGTTTTTGAAATTTGAAGACATTACTTAATTTTTGAAAATACTTTCTTTTGTCGGGAAGGTGGGGCTGTAGTCACACAAAGTGAATTAGTTTTACAATAAAATTAAAACTGAGAAGGATTCAATGTCCAGTTGATGTGAAATTCTGTAGGCATAGCCCTAACCTCCAGTAGGTGGCTGTTAGTAGTCATTTGGTAAGGTGCCCGTGTGAGTCAGGGCATCGTCGCATAGTCAACCTCACCAGGGTGGTGAGAGACTGAAACGTGCCGACCCTTATCTACTCCTCCCAAACGGGTACGCTGGGCCCTAACAGCCTGACCTTCTGAAGGGTCGGGGGAGAAGGAGGAAGGCTTCAGGAAAATTTTCTACTGGGCTGCTCTGTTGATGAGTTTTAACCAGAAAAGGAATTTTTTACACACCTTTCGAATCAGGAAATCTCCCTCTCTAATTTCCATAAAGTTATAACGGAGATAAAAATTTGAAAAGCAAACGAAAATATGCAAAGTATATTTAGTGAAATAAACTAGTCAAACCACTTTTATCTCAGGAAACCCCATAAATTAAGAGTAGAATAATCCTCACCCATTCCTAATTTGAATCACCTCGTAAAATTCTGCTCCTGCATGGAAGAGAAGACACAGGACACAATAGAACATCGCATTATCAACCTACTGCTTATACTAGTTTCCATGTTCTTTTTTTTTTCCTATATTTTTCTGCGTCATCAGTGTCTTCTACACCAAGTAGGAGCCTGAAATTTAAGGGGGTCACCACACAGTTCATAACTTGGGGCGCTGCTAGGAGAACACCCTAACATCAGAATCTATATTCTCCATGAAGTTCACGAAACATCTCCTAAGGTGCTGACACGGAGAAGTTGTTTAACAATCGAGAGCTTATTTAGTTAGTGATCATTTCCTTTCTTTCATTTCTTGATTCAGGGGCGATATTTTAAGGAGCAATTAGATGCCAATCGGTCTTAGGG